GCCTCATCTTGCTAAATTCGATACTTTCTGCACTTCCTATTTTTTATATGTTGTTATTTTTATTGCCTAATGTTGTGCTTGTGGAGATGATTAGAATTCAAAGGAGTTTTTTATGGGGAGGGACAGGGTTAAATAAGAAGATTTCATGGGTTAAATGGGACTATGTATGTACTGCTAAAGCGAAGGGGGGTCTAGGGGTGCTGGATTTACGTAGAAAAAATTGGGCAATGCTAGGGAAGTGGTGGTATAGGATGGGTGATGGAGTTGACAGCTTGTGGAAAAGGGTGGTGAGGGAGAAATACTATGGAGGCAGGAGGGAGGTAGATATCACTGCGATTGAGTGTACAAGGACATCAAAGCTTTGGAGGGATATTATTAGGATAGGGGGTCAATCTTTGAAACATAGGAACATGCTAGCTGAGGGTTTCAAGTGGGAGGTGGGGGAGGGTAATAAAGTGGCCTTTTGGCATGAGTGGTGGGTTGGAGATAAAAATCTTAGGGATTTATTTCCAAGGTTATTTGAGTTATCAGTGAAGAAGGAAGGAAAGGTTTCCGAAATGGGATATTGGAATGAGGGTGAATGGGTTTGGCGGGTTGAGTGGAGGAGGGGAACAATAGGGCATGAGAAAAATGAGGAAGAACTGCTGGAGAAGATGCTGGAGGGTGTTCATCTAAAGGAGGGGGTGAGGGATGTATGGAAGTGGGTTCATGAGATGGAAGGCAAATATGTGGTAAAAATAGCTTATGATCTTCTAGCATCTACGGAGTGTGTTTTAGAGGACTGAATGTGCAAATTAATATGGTGCAGTTGGGTGCCATCAAAAGTGGCTTTTTTTGGGTGGTGTTTATGTTTAGATAGGCTCCCAACAAAGGAAAACCTTAAAAAACGTGGGATTCAATTTCAAGAAGGGGTTTTTTGTGAATGTTGCAATGGAACAGTGGAGGAAGTTAATCATTTATTTTGTGTATGCTATAAGGCTTGGTTAGTTTGGGCACAAGTGTTGAGTTGGTGGGGTGTGGAGAGTGTCTTGCCTAACACAATGGTGGGATTGACAGATTTTTTCTTATGTGGTTTCGGAAGAATAGTTGGTAAGGAGATGGGTTCCTGTATTTTTCTAGTGGTCGCCTGGTATTTATGGTATAGGCGCAATGCCCAAGTATTTCAAAAAGATGAAGGAACAATAGAAAACCTGCTGGAAAGGGTACAAGTTAAAACCTTTTTATGGATTAAATCTAAAGTGAATGGCTGCGTTTTCTCCTTTCATGAATGGCAATCTTGTCCGATGGAGTGTGCTATGTCTGTCAAAAATCATAAAAGGATGAGGAAGCAATTCTATAAGGCATTCGGGTCCCCTGGTTGATGGTTAGGAAGTGCAGAAGGTTCTGCTTTTAATCAGGTTTCCAAGTTTTGTCAAATTTTCGTTGTAAGGAGCTTGGCTCCCATCAGATGTGGGTACCATTAAGACGTGGGTGCCATATGTTTGTAGATGGGTTGAAGCACCCCTTGTGCTTCATTAAATAAAAAGTTTTATTTGGCTGATCAAAAAAAAAAAATCAGCAGCCCTATCAAATACACTATCATCGCCGAGGGAAACAAGACTTTCGCAGCAAACTGTCTCGGCGTACAAGGGAACGTTCCCCGCTACAC